ATAAATATGCAAGTTTATTTCTGGAGGTTTAAATTTGAATATTAGCTTTGCTTACTCACAAGCAAGTGTGAATAAGTTACTTTTGGTCATGCTGGTACCTACCAGCCTAGGCTACACAGCAAGACATTACCTAAAAATTTTGCATCTACTTTTTTGAAAATTAGACAAAAGGTGAGTTAATTCAGCAGTGATACTCACTAGACACTTTGTTGGAAATGAACTATACAACTTGGGGGGAGGAGGGTAAAGAGGGAAAAAAACTGGGAGAAAATGAGAGAAGGGTGACACCATTCAAAAAGAAATATACTCATGACCTGATTTATATAACTGTAACCCCTCCATAGATCATCTTTACAATATTTTTAATGATAGTATTGTAAAGGTGATTAGATAATCGTGGAAATAGAGAAAACAGAGTATGTTAAAAAGATGATGAACTGGGCTGGGAAGGTGGCTCAGTGGTAGAGCGCTTGCCTTGCATGCCTGAGGCCCTGAGTTCGATTCCTCAGCACCACATAAGCAAAAAGTAAAACGCCGGAAGTGGCACTGTGGCTCTAGTGCTACAGCCCTAGCTTTGAGCTGAAGAGCTGAGGTACAGTGCCCAGGCCCAGAGTTCAGGCCCCCCCCCCAAAAAAAATGATGAACCATCAGCAGTAATCAGAACAAGGAGACCTTATAACTGAGAGATGAGTAAACAACTGTTAGAAGTTGGAAAAAAGTATTCACCTCCCCCAAATTGGCTAAGTAGTTACTGTATGTTAACAAAATAGAACAGAGTAGAAACAGTACAGAAAAATTACAATAAACAACAGACTGAAGTCGTATTATTCTGTATGGAGCTGAACTCAGTTTAATGGGTTATTTTACAACACTGGTACTTACTTTTTTGTCAAAGACTTTTGAGAAAGCTATAGTGAACAGATACAATATTCATACCATATTACGTGAACATTTCTAGTAGGTTCAGAAATCCCTGGTTAAAGACTTTATTTTGACCTTACCTAAGGCAATCCTGATCCATAGCGTGTTTTCTCATGCTTAATTTTATAGTGAAGTTCAAGGATCACACTGACTTGGGGAAAATTTTTTAGGCTTCAGGCAGAATTGTAGTTTTTTTCTGTATAAAAGAATGTATATAACACCCTCCTGGAGCAGTAGATCTGTGGTACTCTTCTTGATTTTGTATAGTTTTCAACACATAGACATGCCTTTCCCCAATGCTTCTGACAACTCAGGTAGCTTCTACCACAGACAGTGAAGAATACAGACATGCAGCTCTGGAACAGATAGTAATAAATAGATGTGCAATGTAAAGTGGAGATGGGCCTAGAGGGAACAGATATGATTCTGGAGAGGCTTAGAATTAGGTAGGCACATTCAGACAAAAATAGAAGCGGAAACATGCCACTTAGAAACCCTCTTGTAAATAGTCAAGATAAACTTCAGTGAAGTAGGTGATATGATTGAAATAAGGTGTAGAGGAAAGAGGACAGGCACTAGAATTAGACTGACCTGTTCTCTGGGTATGTATGTACCTCATTGATTTATTTATTGGCTATGAACTCCACTTTCCTAACTATACAATGAATACAGCAATGATACCTGTTTCACAGGCTTTCTGAAAGTATTTAATGAAATGTGTAAAGTTTTTTTAATCACAGTACTCAGAACCTAGGAAATGAGTGCTTCTTACTTGTGGTCTAAGTAATCAATAACTAATAATTATTGAAAACCTATTTAGGGGGAGGTGTCATACTGTGATTGAAAATTTTAAAAAAATTGTTAGCTGGGTGCCTATGCCTCACATCTGCTGTCCTAGCTACTCAGGAGGCTGAGATCTCAGGATCATGGTTCAAACTCAGCCTGAGCAAAAACATCTATCTGTGGGACTACAATCAACCACCAAAGAGCCAGAAATGGAGCTGTGGCACAAGTGGGAGAGTACTACTCTTGAGTGAACTGGCTCAGTAATATCACCTAGCCCCTGAGTTCAATCAGGATTGGCACCAGAAATATTGTTGATGCCCATGAAGAGCAGAATTAGCTACAGTTACAGTTATATATATATATATATATATATATGTATATATACGTATATATGTGTATATATACACATATATACGTATATATGTATATATGTGTGTATATATACATATATATGTATATACATATATGTGTGTATATATATACACATACATGCACACACACATATAAATTAAAGCATAATGTTTTATAAGTCATTGGTGGTTGAAATGATAAGTGAGAGAGCTCCTAAGTTTCTAAGCTTGGTTGGTAATATTCACCAAGAAGGGAAAGTTGAAAGTGTGATAGACTTATTTTTATGGCAGTAGTGGTGGTATATAAGTTCATTTATGAAGCTGGGCACCAATGGCTCACACCTGTAATCCTAACTACTCAAGAGACTAAGATCTGAGGATAGTGGTTCAAAGCCAGCCCGGACAGGAAACTCGATGACTTTTTTTTTTGGGGGGGGGGTCCAGTCATGGGGCCTGAACTCTGGGCCTGGGCACTGTCCCTCAGCTCTTCAGCTCAAGGCTAAAAATAAGTTCTAGAGCTTGAGCCACAGCGCCACTTCTGGCTTTTTTGTTTTTGCTTATGTGGTGCTGAGGAATTGAACCCAGAGCCTCATGCGTGCAAGGCAAGCACTCTACCACTGAGCCACCTTCCGAGCCCTCAATGACTTTCTTATCTCCAATAAATCACTCAGAAAACTGGAAGTGGTTCAGTGGCTCAAGTGGTAGAGTGCTAGCCTTGAGCTGAAGAGCTGAGGGACAGCACCCAGGCCCAGAGTTCAAGACCCACCACAGACAAAAAAAAAGTTCACTTATGGACATGTTGAATTTGAACACAGAGAGAAATAACTTGAAGGCAAAATTCCTGCCTTCAATGAAAGCTGTAATTTTTCCTCTTTAAAAACTCTTCCCAGGGCTGAGAAGGTGGCTCAGTGGTAGAGTGCTTGCCTTGCATGCATGAGACCCTGGGTTTGATTCCTCAATTCCTCAGCACCACATAAACAGAAAAAGCCAAAAAAAACCCCAAAAACAAACAAACAGAAAAAGCCAGAAGTGGCTCTGTGGCTCAAACCGCCCCCCCCCCCCCCAATCTTCCCTTCCAATTCTAAGATTCCATAAGATACACTTTATATAAAGCTTTCACCTATGCAGGTGAATGCTGATAGGTGTTACATTAGGCTATACATTAACCCTTGAAAATACTAAACTGAGAGTTGTGGTTTTACAGTAAGATCCTTCTCTATTACAGACAAATTTTCTGTAGATTTCATCAAATAGTTCAGTGCATGTAAAGTATTTGATTTAGAAGCAGCTTTTAGATTGTGCATCCATTGTACTTTGCATTGAGTATAATTGTACTCCATCTTTATGCATCCCATAAAAAGGCTATGCAGCTCTCACTGATAAACATTAATATCTGAACAAATATCAACACTATAGTCCAGATTTCAAGCCCTGATGAGGATTACTAATGCCAATGAGATGATGAATAAAAACTAGTCAGACTCAAAAGATTCCTTTCCCATTTCTATAAATAGTATGAACATTCTCCAACAATATGTTTTATATTTTTCTTAGTTAAGTCTAACTTACAATATTTATGTGATAGATTTTAATGAATGGACAGCTCATGGTAATAAGTATCTGTATGTTCAGCTCAATCTTGTTTCTAAGTTTGTCTGTTTTGGGAGGGTAAATAGGGGCACAGAAAGTGTGGGATAAAGGGTGAACAAATAAAGCAGTAGTACTCACAAAAAACTACGTTGTGATTGGGTACAGGAAGGAAAAACTGGGAGAGAATTAGGGAAGGAGTGATGCTGTTTAAAAAGAAGTGTTCTCATTACCTGATTTATGTAACTGTAACCCCTCTGTATATCATCATTATGAAAACAATAAAATATATAATACATGCATTATAGGAAATTCTCATGGGTGAACAGATTGGTTGACTGAGTGGTTAATTTCTTATCACTTAGTGACTTCTTTTACTTTCTGATGCACACTAAAATTTATGTTACCAGATCAGTAAAGTTCTAGCCTCTTGCCTGCTAAACTCTATGTAGAACTTGACTTGTGTTATGTTGTACCTTAGAAAGTATGAAAAGAAACATAACTTATTCAGGCTTGTGGGAGTTCAGCAGGCATTTAATAATGACACCAAACTGAAGCCACAAGGTAATATGACTTCATCATTGATCAGCAAGTATTGCTGAATAAGTAAAAAAGTTGAAAGTATTCCCCATTTAGCTCATTGAAATGAGAAGTTTTCTGAAGGTGAGGAAAGAAAGTGAAGGTGAAAACTATCATCTTTTGTCTCTAGTAACTCAGTTTACTAGAAATGAGATAGAACAGAAATTTCCACGTGGTAATAGGAAGTAATTTAAGTTCACACTCTGAAGAAGAACTTATTATCTTGCACAGAGAACTGCATTTTTCTAAGCTCTCTCTCTCTTTTATGCAGACTCAGAATGGAATCATTCCAGGAAGTAGTGAGTTAGTTTGAAATATAGCCTTGTTTTCCTTCTACTGTATGTGAAACAGGAGCAGCCCTTATATCTTGTCTTGACGTGAAATAGAGAACGGTGTTGGACAATGGAAATTGAGATTTTTGCAGGGCCTCCATCTCATCACAATCCAGGAGAAAGGATGTCAGTGGAGAATATGTGAAAGAATGATCCATACCAATGCCATGAGCTGCAATGGTAGTGTTTTAATCAGGAAACTAGGATTCAGAGATGGCCACTCAGTTCTATTTATTAGTGCAGGAAAATAAACTCAAGCATTTGTCAAAAACAATGCTTGAAAGGGGAAGAAAGGCTTCCTGATTAATACCCAAATCTCTTTTGTATTGCTCAAGCATCCCTAGGGAGTCCAGCATATATGGCTTCCATTGGTTAGAGTACAATTGATGCTATATCCACTTTCCCTTGAAAATGCTTAATGATGCTTGTTTTGTATTCCTTGCAGGTGAAAGCCCAGCCTCTGTGGTTCTTAATGCCTCAGCAGGATTATTTTCACTAAAGATGGAAACACTGGAGTCTGAATTGACCTGTCCAATCTGCCTCGAGTTGTTTGAAGACCCCCTTCTGCTCCCTTGTGCTCATAGCCTGTGCTTCAGCTGTGCCCATCGCATCTTGGTCTCAAGCTGTAGCTCTGGTGAATCCATTGAACCTATTACTGCTTTCCAGTGTCCTACGTGCCGGTATGTTATCTCGTTGAACCACCGGGGCCTGGATGGCCTCAAGAGGAATGTGACCCTGCAGAACATTATTGATCGCTTCCAGAAGGCTTCAGTTAGTGGGCCTAATTCCCCAAGTGAGAGCCGCCGGGAGAGGACTTACAGGCCCAGCTCCGCCATGTCTAGTGAGCGAATTGCTTGCCAGTTCTGTGAGCAGGACCCACCAAGGGATGCTGTGAAAACATGCATCACCTGTGAGGTCTCCTATTGTGACCGTTGCCTTCGGGCCACTCACCCCAACAAGAAACCTTTCACCAGCCATCGCCTGGTGGAACCAGTGCCAGACACACATCTCCGAGGAATCACCTGTCTGGACCATGAGAATGAGAAAGTGAACATGTACTGTGTATCTGATGACCAATTGATCTGTGCCTTATGCAAACTGGTGGGTCGTCACCGAGACCATCAGGTCGCCTCCCTGAATGATCGATTTGAGAAACTCAAGGTAAGAATTCTGGGGAATATCCCTCACATAACTGACTCAATGTAGTATGTAGTTACGTAGTTAGCAAGTTCCCTAATAAAATGAGTCATGAGTGAGTTAACTTCAAGTTGAGGCATAATCTACTCACCAGAAGCTCTTGCTAGGATTTGCTTTTATTTATACACTTCTGGAGAGTTGTGGAGGTGTTGGCAAATGACCAGATCCACTAGAAGTCCATTCAGGGAAGCAACAGCCTTTCTCCTGTCAGTGACATATTACACATTATCTTTTCTATTATCATTTTACCTCTTCTTTTAAGTATGTGAATACTTGTGTAGGTGTACTGCAATTAGCATAGGTGATCATTTGCATATGCTTGGGTGTGTCACTGTGTAGGTGTGGGTGGACATGTCTGAGTGTATTTTTGCAGATGACAGATTTTAGTGGAAGACATTAGTGTATGTTTATATTTGCATACTCAGTACAGTAAAGAAACAAAAGTTTGTCATTGGTCATTACAGTTTGTTATTAAGCACTGAACCCAGGGCTAATCCAAGCCTGGCTTAAAAAAGAAACTTCAGTGTATTGCAATATTAGGAGTTATGGTTAAATACCCAGCTAACAATGCCCAACAAGAAATGTACTCATCACCTTACTGATATAACTGTAACCTCTCTGTACAGCATCTTTACAAGAAAATAAAATTTAAAAAAATTTACCTGAAGATAATAAATTCATCCAGTATCAAATTTTGTGCTCAAGTTGACTATTGTTGGATTACAGGCTGAAGAACTTGTCTACAATCCTCACCTAAGGTCCAAATCTTTCATTTATTTTCATTGGGCAGCTTTCTAAAGTTGTTACGGCATATATTATTCCTTCTATTCTTTTTTGACATGTTAATTGTACAAAGGGGCTTTGTTGTGATATTTCTATATGTTGTACCATATAATGCTTATGTTCAAGTCAAAATGACTAGTTTTAAAGTCTCCCTACCTCATATGGATGTTAACAAATGTCAGATCTACCTAAATGTTTTATTCTCGTTACCTACCTGCTATGTGGCATAATTTCCCTTAAAATGGAAGCCATTTAACAAAGATTCTAGACAAAAAAAGAGTTGAAATTAATACTGAGATTAGTACTCCCAAATAGGATCTGTGGACCTAGGCCAAGTTAGAAGATACAGACAGTATGGAAAGAGAGGGGAAAAAATGGAGTGGAGATTTTCTTTTATTTATTGTTTTATGTGGTACCAAGGAGTTGAACTGAAGGCCTCATGCATGCGAGGCAGGCACTCTACCACTAAGCTACTTTCCCAGTCCCAGGAGTGGAGATTTTCTTTCTCCCAGATCTGAAAAATTTATTTGAATTTATGTAAAAATGTTGGTGGTGAGTACTCAGAATAGGATGAATTTTTCTTCTGTAATTTACTGTAGATATTATCGAGAATAGCCACACTAACAATGGTTTGTGCTTCTTTTGATAACTATTAATATGTAAAGTAGATAAAAGTCAGTGTTTATCTTTTGATTTCACTCAAGGTGACCTGCTCATTTTTATTAAGGCTGAAGAGGAGAATAATTTCATTGACCTCAATTCTTAGAATCAAATATGTTAGGCCTTGGATCTGGTCTAGTCAAATGGGCTTTGATAGGTTATTTCGTTAAAAGTCACAGAATTGCTTGGAGTGAACTGTAACTGAAATTCAGACTCTAGATGACTATCCTTTCTTTCTTTTTTTTTTTTTTTTTTGGTCGGTTGTGGGGCTTGAACTCTGGGCTTGGGCGCTGTACCTGTGCTCTTCCGCTCAAGGCCAGCGCTCTACCGCTTGAACCACAGCACCACTTCCAGTTTTCTAGTGGTTTATTGGAGATAAGAGTCTCACGGACTTTACTGCCTAGGCTGGCTTTGAACCGAGATCCTCAGATCTCAGCCTCCTGAGTAGCTAGGATTACAGGCGTGAGCCACTGGTGCCTGGCAATGTTGACTATCCTTTCTACTATAGCCTGCTATCACTTTGTTTTGGACCTAAGTTTTTCCCATGAAATGCAATTTAAAACTTTTCTTTCTGCTTCAGCAACTGCATATTTTATTGGTTGTAGTTAAATGACCAGCAACATCAAGAAAAGGAAATATTATATATATTTACAGCTACATGTTGGCAAAAGATGAGGGTGGAGTTGCAGGAAGAGTAAGGGATATGGACAGGATGGAACAATCTGCCAAATATTTGCAGGTGTTAGGACTATAATAAGGCACTGGCCTTGAGAAATATTCCAAACAGAAATCTCTACATCCATATGTACTGTAAAAACACTGGATAGAGTAAGCCTGTATCTACTGAATACCAGCTATTTGAAAACATGAAAACACTGGATGATTGAATAGACATTTGGCATCATGCAGTTATAGCCATCATCTCCAGAGATGGAAGAACAGAAAAGTATTTTATCAAAAGATACTTTAGTCTGCAGCTATGCAGTGATTTTTGGAGGAAAAAGGCCAGATTTTAAATACTTTCCCTTTAATTTTTAAGGAAATGTGCAGAAAATTCTGATTATAAATTAAATGGAAACTATTTTTCACTTATATTCAGATGGAGAGTGGAAACATATGAATCACTTCCAAATGTGTGATTTGTTATATAGTCTGGAATATCTTGGACATCAGAGAGGAGAAGGAGGTTCTGTGTGTATGTGTGCCTGTGCGTGTGCATGTATTCCCATGTGTGAAGGAGGGGTTACTTTGGTGTGCTGCCAAGTATGAAAGGATATAAAGGATATTAATTCTGCACATTAACCAGAAAGGAAGTCTGACTTTTAGTGTCACTTATACTTAGTTCTTTGCATTAATTTTAAATTAAAAAAGCCTTTAAGAGTCTCTTGATATGCTTGAGTCTTTTCTTTTCTCTTTTTTTTTTGGGGGGGGGGGGTCTGGTTGTGGGGCCTGAACTCTGGGCCTGGGCGCTGTCCCTCAGCTCTTCAGCTCAAGGCTAGTGCTGTACCACTTGAGCCACAGCACCACTTCTGGCTTTTTTCTTTTTGTTTATGTGGTGCTGAGGAATCCCCAGGGCCTCATGCATGCAAGACAAGCACTCTACCACTGAGCCACCTTCCCAGCCCATGCTTGAGTCTTTTCTAAGGAGAAAGGAGACTGCTGAGTTGCAGAAGCTGTTAGTGTGTTTGTATGGGGTGTGTGTGTGTGTGTGTGTGTGTGTGTGTGTGTGTGTGTGTGTGTGTATACACCTCTAAGCAATATATCTAAATATTTATATCAAGGGTGTTAACTCTTTGGTCTGTATGTGAGGTAGTGCTTCTTTTTATTTATATGTTTGTTTTTTGACTCTGGAATTTCACTTGTTAAAAAATTTTATAAAGGTAAAGTACAGAGGGGTTACAATTACATAAGTAAGGTAATGAATTTACTCTCTAATTTCCTCCCATTCTTCCCCTCCTCCTGCCCCAACTCCTCTCCTGCCCCCAGTTGTAAAGTTCATTTCCAATATAGTATCTAGTTAGAGTTGCCTTTTTGGTACTAACCTCTGTGATTAGGATTAGTAGTCTCTAGTATTTATATGTTCAACAAAGTAAGCAAATTATGTTATAGGGGGAATGTCAGAATAACTGGAAATTATCTTGTCTCCTTAATACATACTCAAAAGAGGTGAGAGTTTTTAGGGTATTTACTTCTTATTTGATTTTTTAAGCCTACCTATATAGAATTCAGCTATAAGAAACACATCCTTCAGAAGAGTACTACTGGTCAATTAATTATTTTATTTAAAAGAATACTGGTGGGGCTGGGAAAGTGGCTCAGTGGTAGAGTGCTTGCCTTGTATGCATGAGGCCCTGGGTTCAATTCCTCAGCCCCACATAAGCAGAAAAATCTGGAAGTGGCGCTGTGGCTCAAGTGGTAGAGTGTTGGCCTTGAGCTGAAGAGTTCAGGGACAGCACCCAGGCCAGAGTTCAAGGCCCCACAACCGATCAAAAAAAAAAAAAAACAATACTGGTGTTCCTGTACCATAAAGCATACCAGAGTAATTATTTGTTCTATTATTACTCTCTCAGTTTGTATGTATATATAGTCACAGTATATGCCACATTTCTATAACTGCTTCACATAAATTTTCAGCATCACATAAATTTTTCCTCTTCTAAAAGATTGATGTTATTGTATTAATAAATACTGGCTTCAGGGGCTGGGAAGGTGGCTCAGTGGTAGAGCGCTTGCCTTGCATGCCTAAGGCCCTGGGTTCGATTCCTCAGCACCACATAAGCAAAAAGAAAAAAGCCGGAAGTGGCGCTGTGGCTCAAGTGGTAGAGCGCTAGCCTTGAGCTGAAGAGCTGAGGGACAGCGCCCAGGCCCAGAGTTCAGGCCCCAGGACCGGATCAAAAATAAATAAATAAATAAATAAATAAATACTGGCTTCATAAGCAGATCAACTTTCTGAGGCTCTCCATTGATGACAGACTCAACTTAATATTCTAAATCTGTACAACTTAATTTCTGTGATGTTCATTTTTGTTTTCCCTTACTAATCTCGAATATGCTACCTTCATCTACCCCAATGAATCTCCTGTTCACTAAACATTCCGTTCACTTTTTGTTCTTATGATTTTGTTCTGGTCCTGGGGCTTGAACTCAGGGTCTGAGCACTGTCCCTGACCTTTTTTGTTCAATGCTAGTGCTCTACCACTTGAGCCACAGCTCCACTTCTGGTTTCTTGTTGTTAATAGGGGATAAAAATCTCACAGACTTTTCTTCCCAGGCCAGCTTTGAACCACAATGCTCAGATCTCAGCCTCCTTAGTAGACAAGAGTACAGTTGTGAGCCGTTGGTGCCCAGCTTTCATTTTTAACTTTCACTTTTGCTTTTCAATTTGGTCTACTTAGAAATTCTACCTATTCTTTAATGCTCAATTCAAATTCTACAAGTCCATTTCAACACACCATAAGTATAATGCATGTCCTAGAGATTAAACATTCCCTACCCCTTTCTTTCCCCTCCCCTCCCCGTTT